TCAGGATAGGCGAAGAAGGGACATACGCGGAAGAAGATCCCTCCTTGGCTCACACAAATGGGGAGAAGAACCGCAGGAGGAGGAGGAGAAGGAGGCTGTCTCTTATACACATCTAGATGTGTATAAGAGACAGCACACACACACAGCTGAGTGGCATCTGTAGACTTCAGCTAGCTCTCTCTCTCTCTCTCTCTCTCTCTCTCTCTCTCTCTCTCTCTCTCTCTCTCTCTGAGGATGTCCTTCTCAAGAGCCACTTTGGCAGGCTTCCACTGGCTGATATTGTCTTCTCTTGCTCTGGTGATCAGAAGCTCTGCCGAATTTCCATTTGCTGCGGATATTTTCCGCTTCCATTAGATCCTTCGTTGCTGCCCACTCCTCTTCCTTAGGGATGCGTCTCCCTTCCAACGTCATCCTCTGCATCTTTCCTTCCTCCGAGACAACCCTTTTTTTTTTTGAATGCTGCATCTCCCCTTCCTCCCAAATGACCCATAAATAAAGATCCGCTTGCGTATCCGTTCCATACTAGGGAGAATCTTTGGGGCTTGCTGAAGCGCAAGGGAGACTGTTCGATTGATCCCAGCATGAGTAGCTAAGGAGGACTGTTAGGGAAGGGGGTAGGGAGCAGAAGTGTCACGAGTGTGATGACAATGCTGCTTTTCCCCACAGAAAGGGGAAAAAAAAACGACCATTCCTTCTGCTTAATAAAAGAGAACAATGTATCAGGTCTTCTTCCTCTTGTTCATCTTATGAACAGACCACTCTAACCAACTGAGTTATAGGCCCATGCTTGGAAAGACTTGAACTCTCAACCCCCAAATCCGTAGTTCGGCATAGGTTTCTGAGCTGTTAGGGTGTCAGGTTCATTCCAGCATTCGTGCAAGCACTGATTGAGCGGTATTGCCTCGTACGATGACCTGCACGATGAGTTGTAATAATTGCAGACTCGACAGATCGACCTGTGTATCGCTTCCAGATGTTTTCGTCTATTACTGTGCGTGGGCCCATGTTCTTTAGATCACGCGGGATGCGATGGATCTTTTGTCCGAATGAGTTTTAATTAATGTACCCTATTCTCAACTTGTACTCCATTATCGGGGTTTCTTAGCCTGGTACCTCCCTACTCTCCCCCTCCCTTCTGATTGGGGGTATCTATTCTGCTATTGGGGTCAGTTCCTTGATTGGGGGGGGGGGGTAGCCTAATGTCCTTTTTTAAGTCGACCTTCCGGAAAAGGACATGTAACCCCCTTTACATCTTCCTGTTCAAGGGTAGTTATCCTAATCGAGCCGTAGTGCTGATCGGATAAGATGCGAAAGGTGGCGAAGATGGCTGTGTGGCCTGTTGTTGACGAGGCGTGTGAAAAGCTGTAGGC